ATTGAATCGAATTGAATTGAATTGAATTGAATTGATTGAAAGGTTTGTTTTGATATAGATAGGAACATTAATTATAATTACATTACAGGAGAAAAGGGGTTCGAACCCTTAACCTAAATTAATGGTTTTGGAGACCATTGTTACTCTTCCCTCATTATTAGGCTCAGTATGATATAGGGGGCACTAAAATTGTCGGAGCATTACATGTTTTTCTTTGATGATTTTTTGAGTTTGTTGGGGACCATATGTAGGTTGCCGATTTTTTATATATATATATATATATATAAATATATATATATATATATATATATATATATATATTTTTTTTTTTTTCAGGTTGCGGAATTGCTTTGTGGATAGACTGTAAACAGGATTGGACATAGATTGCACAGCTGAACCCCGGGCCCAAGTCCCACAAGCTCCCACAAGTCCCACATGCACCGGTGCGACATGGTTTTTGTGACTTAAAAACTCAAAACAAAGGCAAAAAAGGAGAATCAAATGCTGCTAAAAGCTTTTCTTCCCCTATTTCTAAAAAAACAATGAATAACCAAATGCATGTGGTCACACACGTAGACCCAGTTCAACGGTGAACTGGCTCAACGGTGTATGTGGGACTTGGCCCCCGGGCTAGACTGAAACTGTCTGTGCATTTGCTTTTTCTTTTTTTTTTCTTTTTTCTTTTTTTTTGAGTTTGATTAGTGACCACGACCCCGGGCATGAACCTGGCCGGAGTGCGGGGATCATGCCATAAAGGTTGCGTCCCTGTCTCTTATACACATCTAGATGTGTATAAGAGACAGCTGTAGGGCCCGTGTGGCTACGCAGTATGCCACACTGAGTGACTTCCTTAGGCCATATGATAGATTGCTTGCACGGGCCGGACTGGCCGGTTATTGCTTCTTGTGCGGTGATTTTCTGTAACTTTTTTGCTCTTCTATAGGGCTTCCATGAGTTCTTGCCTCAGCTACTTACTGAATTGAATCGAATTGAATTGAATTGAATTGAATTGATTGAAAGGTTTGTTTTGATATAGATAGGAACATTAATTATAATTACATTACAGGAGAAAA